AAAAAAAAAAAAAAAAAAAAAAAAAATGTTGAAACGTGGACTACAAAAATATCGTATCTTTCGAGAAAAATCCAGCTAAACGAATATCATCTCGCTTAAGAGACACGTATAACCTTTGTGGTTGCGGAGTTGAAGTTGGCGAAGGTCTAGGTGTTATGACACGTAAGATGAACTCTTTGCAACAAGGTTCTGGAAATGTTTTAAACTTATCTCCAGTACCATCTACATCTGGAGCATTATTGAGAGAAGTCATCGCAAGAGCAGCCTGGAACGCAAAATCAATAGTCACAATCAGTGACACATTTTATTTTACTTACAGTACAAATATCAGTAGTATTAAAAAGGTATTACGATCTAAAGATTCAAAATCTCAATAACCTCGTATGTAAAATTGAAATATGAAAAAATATATACGTAAAAGCTAAATTTCCCTTTTCTCTAACAATATTGCTCGCATGTCGGAAACTGATTCATCCAATTAGAAACCTTCTTAAATCAAGTGCGCGTATAAACTTCTAAACGATACCTTTTGAGCATTTCTAAACATCGTCGTTATTCGAGATGCAATATTTCCTCTAGAACCACCTGGTACATCCACCTCTTTTCCTCGCATTAACTGGATAAGAAAGGAAGTAAATTCTTTGGAATCATCGTTTCCGCCTAATTTATGTTGCAAAGAATTTACTTGTGCGACGAGAGCTTCTACACCTTCTATATCTTGAATAATTTCCTAAAACGAATTAATTTATTAATTTACGATATTTTTCTCGTTTTATTTATACGAGGATTAACTCTATACTTGAGATTAACAATATTGAAAAAGGTATGCAAGATGTAAATACACAGACACGTATATATATATATATATAATTTGAAGATACCTGATATATATGTAATTTCTGACGAATAGGTTTCGTAGCATGTTGTAACTTATTGAGTATACCAAGTGCAACATCGGGTAAATGTGGCAGAGCATCTTGTTTTTGTTCGTTCAAAGTGTAAAGTGCCGCGTGGGTTAAGACTGGTAAGAGAAGTTGAGCAATTTGGCCGGTGCGCTTTGTACTTAGGAAATGCAAAGCTTTCTCAGCCTCCCTTGTATCGTCGAACAACCGTTTTTGTCGATGTGCAGGTACAGGCAGAGCTGAATTCCAAGTTGTAGACCATGGATTATTCGGAATCAACATCCTTGCTGATAAGTGACCTTTGACAATAGTAAATTTGTACAATTGTAAATTTTTCTCCTTTAAAACTTTTTTGTAATTTTGTAATTTTAATTAAAAGAAAGAAAGAAATATAAGACGCAACAAACCCTTGGATTGACCCCATTCGTCCATTCCATCCTCTTCGATCCAGTCTCTCGGAGAATACCAACGAATAAAGTCTTCCAAGACTGCTCCAGGGTTTGCTGCCTGTGTTATTAAATTTTAATAATTTTTTTTTTTTTTTCATTCAAAGGATTTTTTTTCAAAAGATTGCAAAATAAATTATATTTTCCAAATATTTCGTATAGTTTATTTTTACACTGTGTCACCTTGAAAGACTCCATATCGGACAATAACGAGGCGCTCATCAATCTGGCTCGCATTTCTGAAGCATGTTTGCTAGTTCCAAGCTGCATCATTACTCGAGCATCTTCCTCGAGTTGATCCTCCGTTTTTGGTACAGGATCTTGCGTTATCGGCAGATAGAGAGAATCTCCAGTTTGGATTAACCTAAATGAAACGATTCAATTTGTAATATCATTATAATGTCATTTTATAATATATCTTATAATATCCGTTATACGTATTACATTGACACGCTCTTGATAAAATTACAATTTGCGAAATATCGCACGTCGATGGAAAATATTAAAAATTACTGAATTATCGATATGCTATTAACGATATTATTATACCGAAATCGAATTATACTTTGTCGTAGGAGTGTTTGTATTGCAAACAATCTATCATTTATCGTAGTTTAATCGATGAAAAATTATTTTAAAAAACATTGCTGGATATGCTAATTGTTATTGTTATTAAAAGGAATACGTTGTTGATGAAATAAAAATAAAAAGGTAAAAATAGAAACGTCCGAAACGTGTTTATGTTTCTGATAAAAATAAGTTTCGGCGCGATAATTTTT